AAGCATAAACCCCAGGCTGAAGCCAGGCCTGGTGGCACAGGTGTGCAAACCTATCACTCTGGGAGGTTGAAGCAGGAAGATTGGAAGTTCAAGCCCAGCCTGGGCAATTTGGTGACTTAGTGAGATTCTGTCTCAGAAAAAAAAGTAGAAAGGGCTGGGAGTGTAGCTCAGTGGGAAGACCTTGGGTGTAAGCCCCAGTACTGTTGAAAAAAATGCTAGGCTGAAAGATTTCATTTGGTTCAGGAGAGGATAAACTGTGAATGATCATAGCTAATCACATCCTGGTAACCATTAGACTTTCAAGGACAATCAGAAGATAGCAAAAGTGTGCAGAAGGGAAAAAAAGTGCAACCTACAAGAAAATAGGAATCAGATTTGGAAAAATGTTGCTGTAAAAACCAATGTGCCCTCAGGAAGTAAAACAAAGGTAGCTTTCAAATTATGGGAAAGAGTGAATTTAAACAAAATATGCCAGTGTTCCAACAAACTCTTAGTGAGTGTGAGTGGAAAAAAATCAGAGTTTTTCAGAGCAACTGAAAAATAATAAAAATTTTAGCCTGTACACACTCATTGATTTACAAAATATTGATTATCTACAGAAAATCCTAGAAGAAATCCCAACAGATGAAAGATGTGTTACTTAAGCAGAAATAGAATTAATTCAGAAATGCAGCTGGAAAAAGGCCAGGAGGAGACTGAAAAAGGAATCTGAAACACCACCTGCCTCACTTGGAAGGGGCAGTCAGAGCCCCTGGAAGAGAATCTTCACAGAAGAAGTTGGCTGCATCCAAGGACTCCATGACGGGGAACCCACAGGGGCAGTGAAGGAAGATTGTGGTGTCAGTGGGTGGAAGGCCATGAAAACCTCCAGCCAAAGAAAGCTCTCAGGAATATTCATTCCTGTGCATCCTGGATCCCAGTCACCCTCACCCTGCTCCAGCCCCTCTTCGTTGCCTCTGGATTTCACCAAGCATTGCCCACTTCTGCCTCCATTGATGGCTCTCCCCCACGCAAGACTATTCCCATTGCCACAGAAGAACTCTGTTTTCCTTCCATTCTGAAAGATAGCCTTCCTCTAGACTTCACATTTTCTCCTTCCTGTCCCACACCTCCTTTGATGTGCACCTCAGGACCCCACAGAGTTACTCTTTGCTTCTCTTGCTTCCTGGTTCCATTTTCTCATGACGCCCTCACCCAAGCTGATCAGATAAGAGCACCCAAGGCCTCCTTGTGGCTGAATCCAGAGTGGTGCACTCTCTGGGCCTCTTACTAGCATCTGGTGTCATTGCCCCCTTCTCAGTCCCTTTCCTCTCATGAGGTGCAGCCAGCCTACCTACCTTGTGCTCCTCTAGCCAACTGGTCCTCGTCTCATAGCCTCATTCTGCCTTCTCCCCTCCTTACCTGTAACCTGGGCAGGAGCATGGCTCAGTGCTCAGGCCTCCTCCTGCACCTTCCACAGGGTTGCATTAGTCAGGGTTCTCGGGTAAAATAGAACAAAGAGGTTAGTGATGTATTTGTTTACTATAAGGAGTGGTGTATGCAGTGGTGGGCCTGAGAAGTCCCAAAATCCACAATTAGCAGACTGGAGACTCTGGAGGATCTGACATTCAAACCTTTGAACCTACAGGTTCAAAGACAGGACAGGACCAGTGTCCCAGCTCCGCTGTCCAGGAATGTCCTCTGTCTTCTTTCTGAGCTCTTTTGCTCTTCTCAGGCCTTTCACTAGTTGGGTGAAAACTACATCAAGAAACACATCTGTTCTACTCAGAACATGGATTCAAACAAGGATCTCCAAACATCCTCACACATACCTAGCATAACGTTTGTCCAAATATCTGGACACTCCACAGCCCAGCTGATTGACACATAAAATTAACCACAACCAGCCCACCCCTTGGGAGCTTGGCACCTGTACATACATCTCCTTAACCATACTTCATTTCCAAGAAAGAGAAGAATAAGGTCATTGTTCTGCCAACCATGATACAACTATCCTGAGTACCACCAAAAACATACCAACTCCTTTCCCAGAAGAGGGGTGAAGTCCTTGAGTGATGTTTACTCTCCTGATATTCCATTAGTTTAATAATATAAGAAGAGAAACACACTTAAATACTGCACTATGAAGTCTGAACATCATGTGATGCTACTGAGGGGAATTAAAGAAGGCAGAAAAGAAATATATCTTGTTATTAATCTGTCACAAGGCAGAAACATGACCTTATGTCTTTCCTTGGGGATTATATTTGATTTAAGGAAATAGATATGTACACATACACACACACACACGACTAAATGACTAAATAAGGATGAAGCAATTTCCTGGCAATTTCAGCCCTCTTTTCTGTTACTGACCATATAGTCACACCTCGTGTTGTGACTTCCTCTACTACTGCCCTCTCTGTATGCCCTTTGCCTGCAGCAGGAACCTCAGCTGATCGTGGCTCTGTACCTATGGGGTGAGTTGCCTGGAATGAGTGCTTGTAGTTTCCCACTGACCTTAATATCAGGTGAAATAATACTGACAGATTCCCTAAGGGGTCTCCTGCATCCCAGATATACACTTCCACACCTCCACTGTGGAAGAACACCTCATTTCCCCTCGGTAGTAAAGATCAATCACCCTATCGATGTCAGAACTCCCTTCTTAGTCTGTGGCTCAGAGGACCGAGGAGCCTGAAGAGGAAGTGGCTTCTTACCTTCTCGGTCAATGGAATTGTTATTGTGTCTCCTGGTAGAAGCATTGCTTCCTTTGTAGCTAAGAGGAATGTAAGGCTATGGGAATGGGAAGCAGAACTTTTCTTAGTGGGTTGCTGGGGTAACAGCGAGTGGAGCCATTTCCATTTCTGCCCTTTGATTCCTGAACCTGTGAATCTTGCCTATGAGAAAACCAGCACCATATATTAGAGGTTGAATCAGTAATTACAGCCTCCTGGAGAACCCTGCCACAGGTATTGACCCCTGGCTGGTACAGTAACAGCATCTTCAAAAGGCTGCTGCACAGTTCTGTCAAGGCACTGGCTTCACAAATTGTGGGGACATAGTAAGACCAGTGACTTCCACAAGCATGAGCTCATCACTGCTCTGCTTTAGCCGTGAGGTACATTCCTCGGTCAGAAGCAGTGCTGTGTGGAACATCATGATGGTAGAGAGGCCTCCTGTGAGTCCAGGAAGGGCATTTTGGGCAGATATACATGGAAGGCAAATCCATACCCAGAGTGTCTATTCCAGTGAGGACAAGATCCCATTCCTTCCATGATGGCAATGCTCCAGTGCCATCCCCTGCCATCTTTCTGGGTCCTCCTATGCACTGGATTTTTAAAGTCCTACTCTGCTGAAGTCACTCTTTGGTGACATTGACATGACATACATCTTAGCATTTTTTTTTTTTTTTGGTACCGGGGATCGAACTCGGGTCCTTGCGCTTGAGCAGCAGGCGGAGGAACCACTGAGCTAAATCCCCTGCCCAATCTTCCCATTTTTTGAACAAAGCAGTATGTACATACTATTTCCTGAAATCTCCTTTTCCCAAATTTTCTAATCATGTTCTTTCTGAGTCTGTGACCATGTGGCTGAATAGCAGGATTAGTTGCTGTACAATTGCTGGTCTGGAGTTTCACCTTCAGGGAAAATATGCATGAGCACTGAGAAGAATCCCCTTTACTGCTGCCCTTCAGGGTCAGAGAGGAACTGGAGCACTGTGCTGTCCCCTTGTGGGGTTTCTGCTTATAGAGTAGAAACAACTGTAAAGCAGGCCTGGTCTTCTCTTACTCTCTCAAGTGACCGCAGGGCATCCCCATGAGGCCTTAGGTAAGGGCTGGGAGGAGAAAATCAGGTTCATCAGGAGAAGCAGCTGTAGGCATTTGGCTGCAGCTCCATGGAAGTTTTCTATGCCTTCAGGCTATGTGGGATGGTCACATATATGCCACTTCCATTTGGTGGCATGCCTACAAGCACATGTACCTCGACGGCCTGGAGGGTTGGTGACCCTCAGTTTGCGAATCGAAGCTCAAGGAGATGGCAACGGGGCGGCCTGTGGTCAGGCATTCCATCTCCACTGAGGTTCAGCAGCAGCAGGCCAAGACTTCTTCTCAAAATGGAGCAGTTGTTCCAGAAAAAAAAGTCCCGGGTGTGCATGTGACTCACCTGTAGCTGTCGGCCCAGGACTCCAAAGCAGTGTCCAACATTCCAGCACAACTTCCTCACCTCAACCCTGTGACTTAAGTGGCAGAGCAGCCTGCAGAAGCCTGGCCTATGGCAGGCCAGAGCCTTCTCCGTTCTGGGTCACAGTGACAACCAGCTACTGTTTGGGCCACTGCGTTACTGGAGTTACTGGAGTAACTGAGTAACACATCCTGATGAAGAAGATGCCTGTTACAAATCCAGAGGCCTGTTACACACTGTGACTCTTTCTTGGATGTGAGTGAGGGCAGGCACACCCACTTATCTTTCACCTTCGAGGGGCCATCTGGATATGCCCCACACCAGAGGGTTCCTAGAAATTTCACTGGGGTAGAAGGCCTCTGACTTATTGTCAGATCTCTTTCCCACCATCTGACACATGAATGTCTTACCAAGACTCCAGACTAGTTGGCACTTGTTGCCCACTTGGTCTGGTCTACATAATGTCATCAGTGTCATGGACCGGTGTGATACCTCACAGAGGGAGAGACAGCCCTGGTCTCTGTGAAGTCAGCTGTGACCTGGGGCTGGGGAATTGATATTGGGACAGGGACAGGGCATTGCTGGACAGACACAGAAAACAAGGTGTTTGTCAGATGAATAGTAGTGTGGGAGGACCAAGGGGTGGGCTAATCTGCTTAAGCAGAGATATGGCATATGATACAGCAGCCGCAATTCAGTCACCACTGGTTAAGCTTATCATAATCCATGGCCGTTCTCAAAGAGCCATCTGTTTCCTGCACAGTGCACTTGGGGAGCTGACTGGGGCTGTGGTGCCGGTCAAGTCCCTGATTGTGGCACTAATCCTGCAATCCTCCAGGTGCCATGCAGCACTTGAGTTACCCCTTCCCTGGGTAGAGGCAGTGCTGGTGGCTTCTACTTGACCCTTCTGTCTGCAATGCCCTGCGCTGTATGGGTCCAGAAACTGATGTGGGGATTCTGCCAGCAGCTAAGTATGTCTATTACAGTTTTGTGTTCTGGAACCAGGGAAGTTACCACAGTATGGGCTTGGTACCCACTGGGCCACTGGCAGTGTTTGGGACCTCCCCTTTATCCCTGGACCTTTTGGTTCTGGCATGGCAGTGGATGCTTTCCTGTTGGGGGCCAAACCGAGTGTCTGCTGTGGATGTCTCTGAGCCTGGGAGCTTCTCTGGGATGTCCCAGAGGCTCCTTCCTTCCTGCAGTGATGTGGCACTGTGTGAGCCTCTCTCTGTATCTAACATCTATCTCTTGGCTTCTTCTGTCTGAGCCCTGTGCTTTTTATATCATATTAGAATGTGAGCTTGGAGGGAGGTGTATGCTATCTGCCCATTAATGATGGTTTACCCAGACCTGGCTCTTCATAAAGGCTCAGTTAATATTTGCACAATGAATTCCTGAGTGCATAAAGCACACTAAAACCCTATTTGATTTTGAGCAGCTATAAAAAAAATATCCATTCAGACTTGAAGGTAAAACATCTTTCTTTAAGTCATCTAATTTGGGTATATCGTCAAGCTATTCTGCAGTGAATAACTTTGATAAAGTGATAAAATATCAGAGACATTTCCCTTTACAGTGGTTAGAACTATTTTAACAAAAACTGCAATCTCCTAGAAGAGAAGCGAGATTGGATTGAGCAGCAGCAGGTAGAGGGCAGATCTACTCACCTCCTGGAATTGTGAAGTAGGCGACAATAGACACCATCTACAGCTGAGGCCTCAAACACAGTAGTTATCAAAAATGGGAGGAAAGAACAAAGGGGCATGGCTAGGTATGTAAAGAGTTGAATTCCTTGACTTTCATATGTCAGTAGACAAATGTGTCAGATTGATGTATCAAAAGCAGATGTATCTTTTCCCTACCAGCGATTCAGCACCATGTTTCAAAGGTGTAGATGTATAGAGAGCCCCATTCCCCCACTGTCTCACCTCAAAGAGTTTACCTGCACACTTTCAGAAAAGGCAAGGTCTTAAAGAAAGCATGCATGGTGCTATCTTAAGGGTAAAACAGACTAAGAATAGAAATCTGTGCCTGCTCCTCCCTGTCTGTGCATGAGAAAGCTGTGGAAAGACACCGCAGGGCCACAAGCCATGGTCACTTGTGGAATGGGTAGAGGGGTCACAGATTCAAGGAGGTAGCCAGCCCCTGTAGATCTCTGATACGCTGTTTAGGCCATGTTGACTTATTTTCCATGAGAATAAACTATAATTGTTGGGGTCTGCTTGTTGTATTGAACTATGGAAGGAGCCCTAAGGAGAATGAAGCCCAGGAGCGACAGAGGGCGGTGGGCTGTGTGGCCTTGGTAGCTGCAAACCTGACAACGGCTGCTTTCCCTCCTGTGCCCTTCTGCATTGGCTGCGCCTCTAAATCCATGATTGGTATTACTCTTATAGTTTTAAAAACTTAGAGTTGTCCGTGAACAGGGACACCTAGTACATGACCTGCTTTCCTGGGTAGCATCTCTTCCCTGTGACCTGAGATCATCAAAGAGAGGTCTCCACATGAATGAACTGTGCCACTGCCTCTGCTTTCGGGGGAGACTGAGGGAGACTGAGGGAGACTGAGATGGCACTGATGACCATAAGACTGGGAAGGGTCACTGAGAGCTCTGAGCAGCCCTGGTGGGGACACTGCAGGGCCCAACTAGGAACGCAACTGCCTTCTGCGTGCTGCTGGGCACCGAGCTGCTGTGTGCTGCAGGAAGGACAGTGGCCTCAGCCCAGGCTGACAGGCCCAGGTAGACAACAGTGTTCGCTGGGCCTTCCAGAGGCAGAGGGAGAGGGCAGCGTGTTCAGGGAGGTAGGTTTGCTCAGTGACTCAGCCTGGAATGAAGTGCTACACACTTGGTTTTATACAATAGAAAACTTGTTCCCTATTTCCTTTAAAGAAAACAAATTTGTGGCTGACTACTTAGCAGAGCTTGTCCATGTCTTTGAGGGAGGCAGCATGTTTATCCTTGGGAAGGAGGGGTGCTGACCTCCTTCCCAGGCATCCCTGGAGCCAGACAGTCACCCACATGCTTCCTCCCACATGGAATCTGTGCCATAGGACATGCTGCGAAGCCCTAGAGCCAAGGCTGGCTTGGCCCTGCACAGCTGCTGGTGGCCGGGCAGAAGTGGCCCTAGAGGCTCCCTGGGGTGGCCAGTGCCCCTCTCACCTTCCCTCCCCTCTGCCTCTCTACTGGCTCTCCTCTTCCAGGCCAGGTCCTGGACCTGAGATGTGCGAAGGGCCCTGTGCAGCATGACCTTCCTGTGCTCAACCCGCCACTTCCAAGTGGTGCTCTGAGCTCTCCTCTTACTAGATAACTCCCTGGGTTCACAAGGGAAAGATGTTGACCTGGGGTTGTGAATTGGGCAAGCACCTTCTCCTCTCTGAAACAGAACTGTCCTTCATCTCACAGTGATTGCTATAATTGGTGAGGGTCAGGTGAATCTGACACAAGTATGCAGACAGACTGATGCAGCAGACTGGTACTCTGCATCCACTGTGCACTCAGCATTGCTTTCCACTGCATGTTCACCTTTTTTCTTAGCTCACTCTGCGGGAAGTGCCATGGCCCTGCTACTGCCACAGGGGAGGTGGGTTGTCTCAATCACAGAACATGCGAGAAGTGGAGCCACTGATGGGCATCAAGGCAGCCTGAAACTGGGATCATTTGAAAATGTTGCTGTGGACAGAGGACAGACTTGAGAGAGGTGGAATAACAGGTTTTCAGAGAAGGATGGGTAAGAGTGGCTCTGAATTTCTCCAGATCAGTGGAAAGGGCTCTCCTCACAGTGAGAGGGAAGGAACACACAAGCCCAGAGCGGCTGAGTGTGTCTCAGGCCCCTCTGTCCTGGGCTGTCCAGGTGTGGCCTGATCCTGCACAGACTGTGGCTTCCCCAGATTCAACCTGTGAAGATTAGACTTGAGGCTGGCACAAAACATATCATCTATCCGGCTTTTCTTTCATCATTATCCTAAAGTGTAATTACTGCTTTTCCTAACCTCTTTAGAAAACCTCTTTCCTCTCTTTCCACACTGGAAGGCTAGGATTCAAAATCTTTGTGCAAAAAAGGAAAACTAGAAGAGAAACGCCACGGTATCCAGCTGAGGACCAAGTTGGAGGAGCAGTGAGCAGGGCTTGTATGGGCCCTGGCTTGGTGTAGTCAGGGCAATTGTCCATCAAGCCTCGTACCAGGATCTTGACCTCTGGGACAGCCCAGTCCCTCAATCTTAGGTGTTCACCCTGAGTGTACCTTAAGTTTTCCTTTAAATCCAGAAACTAGCATTGGACAATTCACTGAGAACTACTGAACTATAATTATGGAATAAAGCATATGAAATTTAATAAAGATTTAACTCAGATATTTATAAGAAATGCTAAAAATATGCTCAAAGCTCCAGTGTGGTCTGACAGTTACCCAGGAGGGTGGACAGGGAGCAGAGGCCGTCTGCGAAGAGCCCCACTGGGACAGCCCCTGCCTGGCTCTGCATGCTGGCTCGGCCCTTCACTGTCTTCCACCTTTCCTGAGGGACAGGAAACAGGCTGGGCCACGCGTCCTGTCACTGTGCTGGCTGCCTCCCCTACTGAGTCTGATAATTCACTGGCAAGGAGGCCTCCAGGCCAAGAAGGCAGGTGACATTATAGGCTGCTTCCCAGTCTTTTGTCATTTTGGTTTTATGTGTAAGAAAACAGAGTGCTCTCCCCATTGTAAAAGCTTGTGTCCAATTCCTCCTGACCTGCTAAGCAGCGAGAGTAAGTTTTGGCTTTCCTGGATTTTGACAGAAAGAAGACATCACCTCTAAATGATACTGGACTCAGCTTCCCTTATTTTCTGTAACCCAGGAACTCATTGTGCCATTAGTGATTAGTTTCAGGCACTTGCTATAGAAGGAGGGTGACATGGGGAGTACAGTGCTGCAGTGCTACAGTGAGGAAGGTAACATGTCCTGGGCCATGGAGTGTCTTAGGAGAGACCTGTCTATTGACATCCGCTATCTACTTCAGGGCACTGACAGAGGTCAGCAGAATTCAAGCAGAAAACATGAGCCCATTCCATTAGGAGCACTCTCTTGAGCCCAGTCCTGGGCTTGTCTAGGAAACCTGGTAAAACTGAGGTTAGAGACACATACTCCATGACTCCTTCTGCCTTCCTGTGTCTGATGGCCACCCTGAGTTCAGAGCAGCACACCATCACCTCTGTGGTCTCAGCTGCCATAACAATACACCCTGGCCAAGGCTTCACCCCAGGCTTTTCTCTCTAGTGCCAGGGGCCAAAGCTGTGATCCAGGTCCCAGGCCACTAAAGTTTCCTGTGGGCTCCCTGCTCCTGGGTGTGGACAGTCACCCTCTCCTGGGTCTTCACCAGCTTTTCCTCTGTGTGTGCAGAGAGTAGAGCTCGGGGCTCCTTCTCCTCCAGGAAAGACACTGCATCTCTGGACTCACGCCCACACCCATGGCCTCAGTGACTCTCACCTGCCCCCAAGGGCCTGGCCCCAAACACTGTCTTGCTCCAACATCTGAATTGCAGGGCCACAGGGGCCCAGTGAGCCAACACAGCTAAATCCCAGCCAGCTCAGGCCACCAGTGGGTTGGAAAAGGCCCTGCTGGCAGGGGGACATGTCAGCATGGAAACCCTTGCCTGCTGGAACATCCCTGGGGCCTCCCCCACAAAGCCTGGGTGTGACAGCTCCTTTTTTCCCTGTCTTCTTATGGTGGAGCCTGACCTTCAGGAGGGTCCTGGAAACATGGAAAGAAAGTGACCTCTCTGAGAGCTTTGGACTTGACCCTCCTTTTGTGTCTCACATGAGTGATCATTGGTCTAGGCACAGATTTCCTGCCCAGGGAGTTATTTCCCATCAGCTATTTGAAAGCAGTTCTCTACTGGTTTTTCCTTCCTCACTGTGGCTACTCTAAATCCTGGACCTTTATAGACCACTTTTCAAAAATGTTTCCTCTGTAGGGAGCAGGTCTCACTTTTGACTCCAATGCTGTAGAGTGTCACAGCCATGTGCCAGGATGAAGGTGCCTGGGTTGAGTTTTCTTTGCCCCTCTGCCTGGTGGAACTGGGTTCTGGGTATTTTAGGGTGTCTCCAGGGGAGAGTTCTTCAGGGAGAGTGAGTTCCCGTGCCTTTAGGACTGGCTTAGTCACCAATGAGACTGGTTTGTCTTCCCACATGTGCTTGCTTGCCCTGCCAATTTCCATTATAGGCAGCACAAGCCTCTCATTCCAGATGGAGTCACCTGGGGCTTTCCAGCCTCCAGAATTATGAGCAAAACTGAACCTCTTTGCTCTGTGACTTACTTAGTCTCAGGTATTCAACAGAAATGGACTGAGGCAAACCCCAAATGCCCATTTAAGTACATTGCTTGGCTTCCTTCCTGTTTCTTTGCTCCTGTCACATGTGCCCTAGTGTGGGAGTGACTCTTCCCAAGAGAACCTAGCACCTCAGTCAGAAAATTGCAGGAACCACCAGGGAACAACTGCCTCACAGCTGGGCACAGGCACGCGATGCTGGGTGGGAGAGTGGCTCTGCAGACCCCGCTATCCTTCAGGGAGACCAGCAAATTCGAGATGCACAGGTCCCAGCCAGAAGGGGGCTCAGTGTGTCCTGGGGTGGGGCTGGGGATGGGAGGGAAGTCCTGCTCCTCTGGAGTGGAGCAGAGGACCCCCAGCCTAGGACAGGACTTGGGAAATGTCCTTTCCATTTTAAAAACTTTTCATTGCAGTTAAAAAAAAGAAAATAACATAAAATTCACCATCCTACACATGGTTAAGTCTCCGTCCTGGAAATGCTATTTGCCTCATTGGCAACATTTTCCTTTAACACAAAGGCTAATGGAGAGGAGTTGGTAAAGCAGGTTTTTTTTTTTCTTAAATTCAAAATCATAGCTCTTGGCTAGGAACCCAGAACCTAGTCCTGCCCCTTGTCTAGCACAGGTCAGCTGTGTGGACTTACTACCCCATGTGCCCCTCAGCTTTGTTGGGTGTGAGCGGTTCACATGCTCCTCTTTCAGTAATATCAAGAGATGCATGATGCTGTGGGTATACACCAGCTGGCCTTCAAGACCCCAGACTAAGGGAAGGTCTCACTCCTCTGGCTTTTGAGCATTGGCTTCCTTTTGCTCAGCTTCTCACTTTTGGTTTCCCCTAGCCATTCTTTATTTCTGTACCGGGGATTGAACTCGGGACCTTGTGTTTGCAAGGCAGGCAGCAGAACCACTGAGCTAAATCCCTGGCCTTCCTAGCCATTCTTTATGTGCTGCTCAGCAGCAGAAAAGCCATGGGTAAACTCTCTGGAGCTGACGGAGATCATCTGTGGACCAACTTCGGCTGGTCCAAGTGGTCTGGCCTCCAGGGGGCTCATGTGGTGGCTACTGAAGCAGCTCCTTTCTGATTGGATCTGATCAATGAGAGCCCTTAAATGCTCAATTCAGCTCTTATGTTGCCACCACTTAATGACCCCCTGAGGTTCTCTTAGTCTTGTAAAGTGGAAGGGGTTTGGAAGCTCTAGAGACAGCATTCATATGGGGTGAGGGTGAGTCTGTGGCCCTTTGGTAGGTGTAAAAATAACTATGTCCTCAAAAAGCTGGAGAACTCTTGTGAATGACCCAGGCAGCTTCAGAAGCACAGGAATCTAAGTAATTTGGATCTACCACTTTAAAAATGTTAGAGAGCAGAGGCTACTTTTTAAAATACCCTTTTCCGTGACTCAAAAACGAAAAATGATCTTGTTCAGTCTTAAACATTCACAAAAAATTACCTCTTTGTGGAACACATACACATGACTTAACAGTTTCAAACCAAGTTTTTGGTCTCAAAGAGAGTCTGTGCATAACCCTGACCATAGCATGGTGCCCTGTTTTACCTGTGCACATGGAGCACGAGGATGCAGAGAGCCAAGTGCAGGGGCTGTATCTCCTAGCTGTTTCAGCTCACAGCTCTTTCCTCCCAGCCGGAAGTCCAGCTCCTTTCCAAGGCTGAGCAGCAGCCTCACAGTCTGCCATCCCACACTCCTAAGTAGCACGCTTAGTTTTCTTCATTATATATTTTGCAGTTGCTGATATATTGCCACGTAAGTGTTTTCTCCTGTGTCCACAAGAAGTTTTGAATATTAATCATTCTCAGACTCATCTTTGGTTTAGTTTGTGTCTTTTCCATGGCCTTGTGACACCAAACTGACTACAGCAAGAACTGCACACTAACTGTGGCATCATGGAGATCTGGATCTGCAGTGGCAGATTGGAATTGGTCTATTAATAAGTGAGCAGGCATCTGTTTGGGCCACATGCAAAGTGCACTGGTGCACTACATATACAGCAGGGGGCGCTCAGCAGCTCCCACCACTAAAGCACAAGTCTGAAGCCAAGGAAGGGAAATGCAGTCTTTCTAGAACATTCCCTGAGTGAGCCACATAGCTGACAAGAAGGAACTGAAGTTGCTTCTTTCTGGAGGAGGGCAGGCTAAGGGCTGGGTGGGGATCAAAGGGCAAGTACGGTCATCCCCAAGCAGATTCTATGAATGGGCCATTCTGCCTTCTGCATGCAGAATTTTAAAAGCCTACTAGCAGAGTTAGATCAGAAGAGGAGCTTCATCTTGTGCTCCTGTCTGGATCAGCACCTTCTTCTGATGGGGCCACAACCAGGGTGACATCAGCTGAGGAAGGAATCACACCTGTCTCTCCTATAGAGGCAGA